AAAAAAAAGGAATGTTTATCGCAAATGGTACTTGATGGTGCACAAAACTATTAAGAAGTCTTGCGATAAGTCTGAATATGAATGAACTGAATGCAGTATATCGTAGAGGAAAAACACATAAGCAGATAATTTTTGGAAGAAATGAAATGAGTAGAAGCTAAAGGTGAATACAATAATTGAAACAATAACTGACCGCTTCGTCAACGAGTTTCTTCTGCTGTTTTGTTTTCTGTTGAAGTTTATCAATGGTTTCTTGCATTAGCACATAGCGTTTCTTATTTTCATCGAGTTGGAATTCGAGTTCACGTATTTTTCGATCTTGTTTTTTGATGGTCGTTTGAGTGTCTTGATAACGACGTTGTTGATTCTCCAGTTCCGAGCTTACGGCCTTAATTCGACGCTCTGCTTTCGACGTTTCTTTCTGAACAACTTTTATCTTGGTCAGTTCAGTATCGTCCACTCTCGATTGCAATTCTTTGATATTCGTCTCGAGTTGTTTTCGATGTCTATCTGCCATCTGGCTGGTTTCTTGGGCTTGGCGTAGCAATTCGCTGAGACGTGCTGCTTCAGCCGCTGCATTCTTTGTACGTTCTTCGGAAGCTTTCAGCTCATTATTGGCTTCATCCAAATCAGCCTGAATATCATTCAGAATCTCGAAATGTTATGCCTATTCAAATCATGAATATATATCAAGATTGGACAGTTTGTACCTGACACTAACAGGTTTTCAATCAAACAACTATATTTCGATCTGTTGCAAACAATCGACCTCATCCTAATTTGTGGATTCAGGTGCTTTTTGGAATAATTTCGACTATTTAACAATAAGATCATTCTTGCTAATGATTATGGGGGATTGATGTTAGATGTATAAATGAATGGACTTCATAAGAGCACTCACTCTGTACAGAAGGATATCAGCTTCAATCCTCTTCTTCACTGCGCTCAAATCGGTTTCTTCCACTACGAAAGTGTCCAATTGACGTTTTGCTTCGTTGTACTCAGATTCAATTTGTTTTCTAATTCTTTCGGCCT